TTACAGCTCGATTGCTGGTATTGGTATGATGGTTTTCTTGCTCCCGATCAACATGTATGTTGCGCGACAATTCTCCAAGATCCAGAAACTCATTCTCGCGGCCACCGATGCCCGTATCCACACGACCAACGAAGTCCTCACCAACATTCGGATTATCAAATTCTTTGCTTGGGAGCAACGCTTCATCGGTCTGGTCAACGAAAAGCGGTACATTGAGCTCAAGCATCTGCGACGGAGATACATCCTGTGGGCGGTAGCAGCCACGATATGGTCGGGCTCACCAGTCTTAATCACGTTCTTGTCCTTCCTCGTGTACACGAACGTTGAACATAAGGCGCTCATTCCATCTGTCGCATTCACCGCCCTCTCGCTTTTCCAAATTCTGAGGATTCCGCTGGACCAGCTCGCAGATATGGTTGCCCACGTCCAAGAATCCAAGGTTTCAGTTGATCGTATCGAGGAGTATCTGTCCGAGCCTGAGACGGATAAGTACTCGCAACTCGTGACCCAGAAGAAGGACGAAGATGGCCAAGCCATTATTGGATTCGAGAACGGTACATTCAGTTGGGGCGGAACAGACATGGCAGACCAGGCCTCGGCAGATGCCTTCAAGCTGATGGACCTTAATCTGACGTTCCGTGTCGGCAAGCTCAACGTTGTTGTTGGACCCACTGGCTCTGGAAAGACCTCATTGCTCATGGGCCTGCTTGGTGAAATGACAAAGCTCAAGGGTAGTGTTTACTTGCCTGGTGGACTAAGCCGCGAGGACCTGACTCCCGACCCCGACACTGGACTCACTGATAGTATAGCTTACTGCGCTCAGCAAGCTTGGCTTGTCAACGGTACGGTCAAGGACAATATCGTGTTCGCAAGTCCTTTCGACCAGAAGCGCTACGACGAGGTTATCGAAGCCTGCTCTCTGAAGCGAGATCTGGAGATTCTGGATGCTGGCGACGAGACGATAGTGGGAGAGAAGGGTGTAACGCTCTCTGGAGGCCAGAAACAGCGTATCTCATTGGCCCGTGCGTTGTACAGCAAGGCTCGTCACGTCCTTCTTGACGATGTTCTGAGCGCTGTCGATGCCCACACTGCCAAATGGATCTTCCATTACGCACTTCACGGACGACTCATGGCTAACCGAACTTGCATCCTTGTCACACACAATGTCAGCCTCTGTTTGCCACACGCAGAATTTGCTGTTGCACTTGAAAACGGCCGAGTGGTCGCACAAGGTACAGCAGATGAGGTCATCAACTCAGGAAAGCTTACCGAGGATCTTACTAAATCACGGCCCGCTTCAAGAGGAGCGTCCAAGCCTCCTTCCCAAGAGCCCTCGGAGACTGGTGAAGAGGCAAACGGCGATGCCAATCACGCCAACGGGTCTGCCAATGGCACCGCAAACGGCAAGCCGGACGCTAAGAAGAAGAAGCCAGCCAGCAACAGTCAGGACGAGAAGAAGGCAGAGGGGGGCGTCAAGCTGAGCATCATCACCATGTATCTTCGAGCTATGGGCCCCTGGTACTACTGGCTTGGTGCTACCATTGCTTTTGTAGCTGCGCAAATCTCTTCGGTATCTACCAACCTCTGGATCCGCACATGGGCGAACGCGTACGCAGAAAAGGGCTATGCTGTGGCGAGCAGCCATCACCAATCTCCGGTAACGCATGCTCCGACAATAAGTGGCATGGGAACATGCATGAACAGTGGCACCTGCAGCTGGAACATTCCCTTCTTTACGCAACCGGAGCAGCAGTCGTATGCCTACAACACCATGCAAACTACCTTCAGTGACCCGAACCCGGACGTCAACTCTGCATACTTCCTCAGCGTTTACGCCGTTCTTGGGCTCATCTTCATGTTCATCACCTTCTTACGAGAGGGCTTCCTCTTTGGAGGGTCTCTCGCTGCATCCAAACGCATACACGAACGACTCATTCAGAAGGTTACGCATGCCAAGTTCCGCTTTTTCGATCAGACACCACTCGGTCAGCTCATGAACAGGTTCTCCAAGGACATTGAGTCAGTCGATCAAGAGGTAGCGCCAGTCGCCATTGGTGTTGTCCATTGCTTTGCTTCCATCATTACGATCGTCATTCTTATCTCCATCATTACTCCTGGTTTCCTAATCGCGGCCTTTTTCATCTCCATCCTCTACTTCCTCATCGGTCGCTTCTACATCAACTCGTCCCGCGACCTGAAGCGATTGGAATCCGTACATCGAAGTCCGCTGTATCAGCAGTTTGGTGAGACACTATCCGGCATGACGACTATCAGAGCCTACGGTGACGAACGCCGCTTCATCCGCGAGAACTTGGCGAAGATTAACACTCAACATCGTCCCTTCATCTATCTCTGGGCAGCCAACAGGTGGCTTGCGTTCCGAGTGGACGTCGTCGGGGCCATGGTCGCCTTCTTCTCCGGAGCTTTCGTTGTGCTCAGCGTTGGACGCATTGATGCAGGTGCAGCGGGTCTCGCGCTTACCTATGCCGTTACCTTCACCGAGAACGTCTTGTGGTTCGTTCGTCTCTACTCTGCTAATGAACAGAACATGAACTCGGTCGAGCGTGTCAAGGAGTACCTCGATGTTGACCAGGAAGCTCCGTCTGTCATTTCAGAGAACCGTCCACCATCCAACTGGCCGAGCAAGGGATCCGTAGAGTTCATCAACTACAGCACGCGATACAGGACTGACTTTGACCTTGTCCTGAAGGACTTGACCTTCAAGATCCTTCCAGGTGAGAAGGTCGGTGTCGTAGGCCGAACGGGTGCCGGCAAGAGTTCAATGGCACTTGCCTTGTTCCGGGCGCTGGAGGCTGAGAAGGGCAAAATCTTGATTGATGACATTGATGTTGGCACGATTGGCCTGCACGATCTGCGGGAGAACGTCGTCATGGTACCGCAAGGTAAGCACATTTTTATATCCTATTAGGGTGGAACAGATGCTAACACTACACAGATCCGACACTCTTCACAGGCACTATCCGAAGCAATCTCGACCCCTTCTCCATCTTCACTGATGAAGAGATCTACACCGCCCTTCGCGAAGTCAACCTGATCTCTACTCTATCACGCCCCGCCTCCGGCTCTGTCACCCCCACTGGAGCGACCACCCCACCTCGCGCTGTCCAGATTCCCGTTCCGACAACAAACGCTGTGACAGCAGATGTCAACGGCAGTTACTCAGCCGCTACCACAAATCCCGGGTCCATTTTGGCGAACCGCGACTGGGATCGTGGCGAGACACAGGAAGACACGGTCGTGGTCATGCCTGATGGTCGTACTGCGGACCGCGACGATGTAGCGGCGCAGGCTGCTATGGAGGCCGACAACAAGAACCCATTCAAGAACCTCAACTCGCTGGTGTCGGAATCCGGGTCCAACCTGTCGCAAGGTCAACGACAACTTTTGTGCTTGGCGCGAGCGCTACTGAAAGCACCCAAGGTTCTACTAATGGACGAAGCCACAGCGTCCATCGACTACGCCACCGATGCGAAGATCCAAGAAACCATTCGTCAGATCAAGAACACCACCATCACGATAGCGCATCGTCTTCAAACGATCATTGACTATGACAAGGTCCTTGTTCTGGACAAGGGTGAGGTCATCGAGTACGGCCATCCCTACGATCTTGTCCGAAAAGATGGCGGTTCCTTCCGATCCATGTGTGAAACCAGTGGCGAGCTAGAAACCTTGACCTCTACAGCAAAGACTGCGTATGAGTCAAAACCTACATTAGCTGCCCAATAGAAGATCGCAGCTCCGCCGTACGGTTGAAGGGTCTTGGGATGAGAAGGGAGAGTCAAATTTAGACGGAGTTGGAGACGGAAAAAAAGCATGTGATCAAGGTTTTGCATGAGCGAGGCATTATTTCCTTCTGTTTCATTGTCGGCGTATACCAGACAGGGCCTATGGGTGGTCACCTGCTCTTAGTGTGCATATAATTATAATCGACACATTGACGTACTCACTTTATACAAGAAAAAAGCTGAACAGGTGTAGAGCCTACATCAACGGCAGGTTACCTATTTTAAAGGTTTTTGTGTTGATGTAGGCTGCACGCCTGTCCAGCTTTTTCTCAGTTGACGTGTACCACTGATCAGCGAACATTGGTGAATTGGTCGCTATCACGCTAACCTGGGGAGAAACTGAACACCCTAGAGTCTACGTTGACGTTAGGTCACCTACTTTGCAAGTTTTTGGATCGATGTAGTCTGCAGACCTGTTCAGGTTTTTTCTTGTATGAGGTGCCATTGTCGAGCGGAGATCCGTTTCGCTCCATCCAGAAGAGTGAACACTTCACCTCAGCCTAGGGAAAAACCAAACACCCTGGAGCCTACATCAAGATAAAAACATATAAAGTAGGCGGTCCCAGGTCAACGTAGGCTCCAGGATGTTCAGTTTTCCAATGCATGAGGGGACTTAAGTAAGCGGTGCTCGTCAGCATGTACATGTCAGCCACATGTGAGATGAAGAAGTATCGGATCTTGGCGGATCTGACAAAACGCACCACCACGTCGACGACCACCGATCAGTAAACAGGAGCAAAGGCTGAAAAATTACTATCAGCCAGTACTGCTACTGCAATCTATCAACAATATTCTGATCGGTCAGCAAAAAGTGCAAATTACGCCGTTGGGCTTTGTGGCTTTCTTCAAGTACCAATCACGTGGCTGTCAAGCCGCCGCTTTCGGGTCTTACTTGCCTTGTCCGGCGTCGCATCAGCCTTTCGTCATGCAACGCGATCTGGTGTATGAGTATTTGCTCGGTGGTGTGTAATGGCTTTTGCTTACTGTAGTGGTGATTTGTCGTTGGGGAGGAGATGGCTTTCCGGTGCGTTGGCTGGATGGGAGGAGGACAGCAGAGCCGCTTGTGGGGGTGCTTTGGTGATTAGAATAGGTGGTAACATGTGGAGGTATAAAGGGGGCATTATATTGGAAGCGCTCGAGTAGCCTTCCTGATATTATCGATTCTGTGAGATCTCGTTCGCCCACCTGGAAACCATGGAGATTATCGGGGAAATAGTTCGCGATGCGCCTTTTGGCCAACTCGTCCGTTACGCAACACGCAGCCGCTTCTTCAAGTATCCAGAAGAGATACCTGGGTTCGAAATCCCATCTGCGTACATCGAGAAGGATGCCGGCGCCTCGTCCTCGCAAGATGAACCCCACACCGACAACTCTGCAGATGGCATCAGCCAACCCAACCTAGCCCAAGCTACCACAGAGACCCCTCAGGTCGACCTCGAAAAAGTTCCCTCCAGGACCGCAGAAGTAGATAACGCCTCCCATCGCAACTCACTATCAACAGCACCCCTCCCGTCGCACACTCTCCCCTTTAGCCCCTCACGCCTCGAAGCCGACCTAGCCCTCCACACCACCCAATCGAACAGCCACGCCATCGCCCCCGTCAAGACAGCCGACGGCCTCTTACTAGCCGAATGGTACACCACGACCGACCCTGCGAACCCGCAGAACTGGTCGCAGGGCAAGAAGGCATGGACGGCGTTCTTGATCTGTCTGTATACGTTTATTGTGTACGCTGGCAGTTCGATATACGTCAGTAGTACGCTGCTGGTTATGAGTGAGTTTGGGGTGGGGGCTTTTAAGGCGAGCTTGGGATTGGCGCTTTATGTGCTAGGTATGTTGCTGGCCTGCTATGAGAGAGATGATGGAATGAGATGGATCGCTGACGGTGTGTAGGATATGGAATTGGTCCGTTGTTGTTCGCGCCGTTGAGTGAGGGTATGTGATATCCTCTCCTGTCCTTCTTCATCGGATGCTCGTCCCGTGTGAGGAAGTTATCGCGGACGTAGGCCTTGCTGACAGCCCACCACAGTACCGCAACTCGGCAGAAACATACCGTACATCACGACTTTCGCGCTCTTCACCATCCTCACTTTGCCTACCGCTCTGGTAGACAATCTCGGCGGCTTCCTATTCCTTCGCTTTCTACTCGGCTTCTTCGGAAGCCCCTGCCTAGCGAACGGCGGAGCTACGATGCAGGATCTGTACTCTCTGCTCCATATACCGTACGGCCTAGCTTTCTGGACAGCAGCCGCGTTCGCTGGACCAGCTCTAGGACCTCTCTTATCTGGCTTTTCCGTCTATGCGGAGAACTGGCGATGGTACGTCTTCTTGCTCTATCAACCTAGCCTTCTTCCTTCGTCGATGCTGATTAGTCGTATGTGTTTAGGTCTCAATGGGAACTCCTCTGGATGGCCGCCCCGGTCTTCCTCCTCTTTTTCTTCTTCCTCCCAGAAACACAGCCTACCACCATCCTTCTCCACCGCTCTGCCCGTCTGCGTACACTGACTGGCAATCCGAATATCCACACGCAAACCGAGATCGATCGCAAAGGCACCAAGTTTTCCGCAGAACTTCTTGATACTCTCATCAAGCCTTTGGAAATCTGCGTCAAAGACCCTGCTCTCTTCTTCATCAACGTCTACTCCGCGCTGACCTACGGCATCTACTACTCCTTCTTCGAGGTCTTTCCCTTAGTGTACTTGGAGATATATGGATTCAGCGTCGGCGAGATGACCATTGTGTTTCTGGTCATCATCGTGGGGTGCGTTGCTGCTATGACAATCTACTTCTCCTATCTGAGGTTCTACCTCATACCGGATATCCTCAAGCAAGGACTGAGACCCCAAGAGCATAGACTCGTGCCAGCGATTTTCGCGAGCTTTGGGGTACCGATTGGATTGTTCATCTTTGGTGAGTCTGATTGCACGACTGGACTTGAGACATTGGGTACTAATGGCGAGATGTGTAGGCTGGACGGCTCGTCAATCTGTACATTGGATTGTTTCGACTATCGGTATCGCTATATATTCGACTAGCGTGTACATCATCTTCCAAGCTGTCTTTTGTAAGTTATCGCCTATATTTCTACTGTGGTTACTGTTCATATCGCTAACGTTTCTGCAGCCTACGTGCCCATGTCTTACCCGCAATACGCCGCGTCTCTATTTGCGGGCAACGACTTCTGTCGCTCCGCCTTCGCTTTCGGATCCGTACTCTTCTCCCGCCCCATGTATCTCAAATTGGGCATAGGAAAGGGAATTAGTCTCCTGGGCGGCTTGAGTGTCATGGGTATTGTGAGTTGATGAGAGCGAGCAACTCTGTGATTGTGCGCTAACTTGAGGTAGATCGGTATGTATCTGATTTGGGTTTATGGTGCGAGGCTGAGAGCGAGGTCGAAGTTCGCTGTTTGAGATGCGAGCGGCGACGATGACGATGGAGGTGGTGTCATGTGGAAGGCTAAGTGGCTGGCATCATCTTGCCTGCCTCCAGATGCGAGAGCTGCGTATTTGGTCTAGACGCAATTAGGAATGGACCCACCACGCCCGGACGACGGATGTGCGATGATGGTAGAGAATTCACATTTAAACTATTATAAAACAAACATACTCGAAGTGACTGTTGGAAATGACCATGACCTCTTACCTGTGAGAAGAAGAATGACGGTTCTAGGGGCACCCTAGAACCAAAGAAAGAATACGGATATCGAGGAGAGCCCCGATACCCGCTGCCTTACCTGGTAGCGTCAAGGAGACCTGACGCTGCAGCAAATTGGCTTACCTTCCCATATATGCTACATCGGAATGGCATCCGATGTGCAAAGGGTGTATAGCAAGTATCGGGCAAAGCACCGAATACTGCTGTCTTCTGACCATGGAACTTCTATCAAACGACCGAAAGTTCCTCTCCGTGGCAATGCATATCGGGGTCACGCCCCGATATCCTGGTCGTCCGTGTTTTCCACACTCAGTCGTCTTCCAACGCCGCCCGCTGGTCTGCCTCGCTGAGCTTGATGCTATCGAGGGTACCGGAAGTGGCGGCAAGTGTGGGTGCGGCCTGAGAAGTGGCGGGAGCAGCGGGGGCAGGTGTCGGCGAAGAGGCTTCAGCAGCTGCTTCAGATGCAGTCTGCCACGCTTTTGCCTTCTTACGATCCTCTGCTGCCTTCTCCGCGGCAGGCACGTCATCTGTCTTGACTTCGCTCACAAAGTCCCGGGCATACTGAGACGAATTGTCCGGCCGAGCATAAGGTTCAACACGACCACCACGACCACTAAGACGACCACGACCATCAAGACCACCACGACCACCACGACGACTACCACGTGAGGCGAAGCCACCGGAGCGCCCATGGGGGTTGAGCTGCTCGGCGGCGGCCTTCTCAGCGGCAGCCTTGTCGGCGGCGGAGACGTCTGGCAAGGCGAGGGGCCGATAGGTATCACACACAAACCCTAAGTTGATTAGCAATGTAAAATACCAAACGATGTACCACTTACCAAGAAAATTGGCAACACCATCGAGGGCAGCCATCATCTCGCCGACCTTCCGTGACAAGATGGCTTCCTCCTCACCCGCCACCCTCCTCTCCTCGTTCTCCTTCAGGAGCTGCTTTCGCCGGCGAGCCCGCTCCTCCATCTCACGATCGCTCACCTCTATCGCACGCCTCTCCTCCTCTAGCACGAGCTCTTGCTGCCTCCACTTCTCTTGATTGGCAGCAAGTAGCTTTTCCGCGTTCGCTAGAACAGCCGCCAGATCAGCCTCATACGCTGCGTCCGCAGCCTTCTTCTCCGCACGCATTTGCCGCTGCAAAAACGTTAGCAGAGCGCTTCATCAGCATAGACAATTCTTACCCTCTCCTCTTTCTTTCGATCTGCGCGCACCTTCTCTTCCTCTGCGCGCACTCGCGCAATCTCATCCGCAACCTTCGCCTTGCGCACACGCTCCATTTCCGCCGCATGCATCTCCGCGATCTTCTCCTGCATCTCCGCCATCTTGTCCTGCAGCTCCTTCAGCTGCCTCGCCTGCTCTTTCTCATCGTTTTTGCGCTCCATTGTGTGATGGAATGCGATGTGTTGTTGTTGGGAAAATTTTGCAACGCGAGCTCCAAACAGATATATCTGTAGTGGTAGAACGCACAGACTCACAACAAGACTCACGTGACTATCAACTGCATTATCACCGTTCACCGTCAGACGATCAAGAACAAGCGAATTTGAGAAATGAGGCTTTGAGAAGGCTTTGTCTGGCCTGGCAGGTCCCAAGGGGGTTTCCTAAACTCTTAACTACCATGCATTTCCTGATACCGAACTGGCATGCACACGATGCATTAGCGAAGACTGATCTGCTGTGGAATCCCATTGCAGACCGCGATACCGCGGATATAGGACGATATCATACAAGTGTGCCATGGTGTCCGTGTGAGTGTACTTCGTAAACTCTGCTACAAGTTTTACGTTGGAGCTGGCGAAGAGCTTCACCTCCGCCCCGTCGGGTGGGCAGTCACGCTTCTGGTGGTCAGTTTGACCGTAATCATGAAGGACACGTCGATCTCACTTCCTTCTCCAGCGCCACTAGAGGGGTACTCGCGCTTTTGGTGACCGGTCTGGCCGCAGTACTCTAGGCACCATTCCCGCAAGATGGCCAGCCACCCGTTGGAAAGCTTTGAGCTTTGTACGTGTCTGGGTCGAAGGCGTAGTTGGAGGGCGAGTAACTACCTGCTGAGCCTGCGGCGCCGCCTAGTTACTGTTCTAGTAGGGGAAGTTGCGTGGGCGGTTCTATTAGCCCTTGTGATGCTGCTGCGAGGGTGGAGGTATCTGATCTAGGTTTATAGTGCCAGGCTGAGAGCGAGGTCGAGGTTCGCTGTATGAGATGAGAGCGGTGACGATGATGATGAATATGGCGTCATGTGCGTCATGTGTGGAAGGCTGGGTGGCTGGGTGGCTGCCATCATGTTGGCCTTCAGGAGTTCCGCCCGAGCCCTGGAGGTCAGGGCGCGCTGGGTGTGGGCTAAGCGCAATTTGGACTGGCCCACACCATGCCCGGGCTCTGCGGCTTCCGAGGTCATGATTCTGGGGCGGCGCTAGGGGTGTTGCGCGTCTTCCATGATATCACCTTACAAGCGTTTTCGAAGGCACCTAATTTATAACATCGTGGCTTTGTAATATACGCTTTCGTCGCGTTCTCTTAAAATTACGGCTGCTGATGTCGTGGCCATGAGCCTAAACTATCGAGCAGGAAGCCCACACAGCGGAGGGCGCAAACGGTATATCTACGCGTTATCAGCGCAGTGCACAATTATTGCTAACGCGCAATACAGTGCCATGGTATGAACGACGAGAGTCCGCGCTGCTACGACGCGTCCGCCTTCCTTCCTCCACGCCCACGCTTTCACCGACGTCAGCCACGATTCCCGATGAAGCCACACGCATGTCCTTGGGATGGAACTTCCAGGAATCAATACACTTGATTGGCACTGGCTTCTGGGCTGTTGCGTTGGCAATCGGAAGCTTCGTGCTCTTGGCAGTACATCCGCGATGCCTGTCGCGCATGAGAAGCCACCTGACGTACCTTGAGCCTCCTCTCGGGCGTTATTAAGCGGCAGCCTTGTGTGCTGCACCGACCGCACCTCCAAAGCGCATCATATTTTGATGCGAGTTCCGTTCGTGAGATGCTTGTTGGTCAAGTTCCACAAATCATCCATGCAGTCAGAACTTTTGCCGTTGTCCTCCTGCCTTGGGGAGCGTGCAGCCTCAACAGGACAGCACGCTTACACACCTACAGAGCGCCCTGTCGGTATAATGTTTCTTGGTAGTACCAAGATCGATGAATCGTATCCAGCGTAATTGTATTGGCGGCGTTCTGAACATTGCGCAATGTATGGTGGTTCGACAGGAGTCCTGTAGGCGTAGATCTAGGCCTCCCCACTCAAGACTCCGGGGCTGTCGCGAGTTTGCCTGCCGCTACAAGTCGCGCTACCGAGATGAGGCTTGCCTGCACTGCTTGATTTACGCATTCAGCTGAAGGCGGCTGCAGGCCAAGCCCCATGGCACTGCATCAAAAGACGCACTTGTGATTTCACATCGTTCTGATTTATTCCGCAGCCTTGCACGGTATGTGTCTGGCATCTCAATGTTCAAAGACCCAAAGCTGTCGTTCACATCGTATCCTACGGTATCACCAGCATGCCAGGTTCTCCGGCGAAGGTTCATGATGGTAAGTAGTTGCAGCTTTACATATACCTGCCTCTTTGCTTACGTGATCTTAGAGCCTCCATATGTATCCCTCTGTAAAGAGAACCTTGCGATCGCCCATGAAGATCCCTTGTTCAGTGCACCGCATCTGGAAGACTTCCTTGAGTACCTGTCAGAATCGTCATCCCAATGGCCTCGCGGACCTTATACGGAAGACGCACCCTTCGCCTGGTCGTACTTGATTCCGGAAACTGGCGCTCTTAAGCTCTCTCCGCAGTCCAGGTCAAAGGATTTCGATCCGGTTCGAAAGGTCCCAAAAGACTCCAGAGACCACGAATTGCTCTTCATCAACGGTCACCCTTCCCCTGGTTGGCTCAACGCCATTGGATACAAGTACGACGTCGACATGCACTTTTTCCAGCAGCATTTGAGTTCAATCAGACCCTCTGTGCATGCTGATGTATATGCCGAACCTTCACTACCTTCTAGCTCTCGCCACATCCTCAAGCTCAAGATACCAACTGTCGGCTATCTTGAGGGTATAGGAAGTTTGCTCGAGGATATGCCCAGCGCCCGATTGCTACTTGCCGAGAGCCTCAGACAGCAAGTTCTAAGCAATGCTCAAAACCACCCTGTTGGGCGGCCTATCATCCGGAGTGTGTATCTGCATGACCTCGAGCGGTTCACTTTATTGCAGGAGGTTTCCATCTGCTTGCTTCTAAGGAATGATATCTGGACAGGTAAGGTTCGTCCATCTATTGCACATGTTGGGTGCTGACAAAGTAAAGTACTCGTCTGGACTGATGCTGGCGGTGACGACGGAGACCCTGATCTTCCATCCCTATTCGAGAAAGCATTTCAAAAGCCTAATGTCGTTCCCGAAATATGTCCCACTGTCTTCATCCGACCTAGAAGGCACGACCGGTCAGCATATTCGTTCGGTATTTCTTCCAAAGTGAGATTCAAGTCGACCCAGGTTTTCAATAATCTTCACACGGTGTACGGTATGACTCTAGATCCCAGAATTATGGGGCTGGATCCTTTCTACGCTATTAGCGAAGTGTATGCGTACGCTGCGGCTGCCGAGAGCCAATTTCTGAACATGATGAGGACCATTCTCGATAGGCGCATAAAGAGTATTGCGGGAGAGGACCTACAAAAGAAAGCCTCGATATCAGACGCGCTCCCCGAACGTATCAACCTACAACACGATCGTGCCATTCTCGACGCCCACTCTGATCGTATTAGCAATACCGTTTCATTCCTTAAAACAGCGGACGACCCGGTCTGGTTCCTCCCCTTCGATGACCATGCTCCAAACGAAGCCACAACAGCACGGGATACACTCTTACGTGATTTCCAGCATCTCCAGACGCAGGTTGTACAACTAATTCAGCTATGCGAGAGAGCTATGAGCATGGTTACTGAAAACGCGTCCTTGCTAGAGGCGAAAAGGTCGAACTTGCAATCAGAAGGCATTGAAAAGCTGACACGCTTGACGACAGTAATAACTCTGCTCTACGTGCCGCTTTCATTTGTATGCACCTTCTTTGGGATGAACTTCTCAGCCTTTGGGCAGGGCGATTTGAGCCTTTGGATTTGGGCCGCAGTCAGTGCTCCGGTCCTGTTGATTTCGCTGCTATATCTGAAGCGGAAGGCGAGTACAGAGTCTGCAAAGAAGAGGTCTTCGAAGAAATGGTATAAGTGGATTAAAAGACAACGATGAAGATCCGCCTTCACAACAAAGACCCGCGTATTTGTGTATCTACCGAGACCAGAATGCTACGTTTTTGTCAAAGTCCGCCTCTTTCGGCAACTTGCTCTTGAACTTCGCTTTCCTCGCCTCTTCCATATGCTTGCCATATAGTCTCTTGGCCTCTTCGTAGATCTTGTCAGCCTCTTCGGGCTTACCCTGACTTCGCAGTAGGATGCTCTCCAGGTTCGTGGTCCGTGCGAATTCCGGTTTGTAGTAAGACCGGGATCGGAAGACTTTCAGAGCGTCGTCAATGCGGTCGCTATTTCAGACTTAGTACATATGCGCATAGTTGTTATGGCTACGCACCGTGCTTGATCAAAGTCTTTAAGCTTGATGTACTGTCTGGCAAGACTGTGGCAAACATCCGCTGATCGGTGGTGATACTTGCCAATCGTTTTCTCGTAGTGTTCATATGCGCTTTTGTACCATCCCAGCGCTTGGTTTTCTTTCTCATTGCTGGTATCTTCGTAATACTGGCTGTCTCTGACATTGCCTATAGCATGAGCAATCCTGCCAGGTCTTCTTCAATTAGCATTGCCTATCAAACAAGAACATGCCGCTTACCCGAAACCCGTATCTTCCCCGGCGTCGGCCAGTTCCTTGTGGTACTCCCATGCATGTAACAGGGTCTCAGAAGCTTTCTCGTGGTCGCCTTCGGTCCATTGAGCTAAGCCAAGGTTGGCAGACGCCAGGAGATATATGGACTTCGCTATTGCCGACAAATCGCGGAAACGAGATGCTTGATCCCGCGCCGTTTCGAACAATGTCCAGGCCTCGTGAGTTTTGCCTATCATCATCTCCGCGATACCCATCTCGTTATTTGCTACCATCAACGCGTCGTATTCGTCTTCGCTCTGGGGCTTGGGGTACTTCTTTTCGGTCATATGCAAGAGATGCTTGTAGTGCTTGTGACAGGTGGCTGGCTCGTTGATCTCAGTAGCCACACAGCCAAGACTGGTGTGAATCTCGAACATGAGATCCTCGTCGCTATCCAAATGATTCTCGCAGACTGCAAGCGATGTGTCCAGTATTTCCTTGGCTTCTTGAGATCTCCCTCGTTCGTGGTCAAACCTGTGTTGATCAGACTTGGTCTTACCCAATAGCCGTGTACGCGAGAGGAAGTATCTTACCATCCAGCGCAATTCAACAGTCTCACAAAATCGATGCTTGCCACGTTCTTCTGGGCGTTTGATTCAAATTTGCCGTAATGGTACTGTAAGTTGACCACATGCGGATACAATTGTTCGGCTCGTGGCCAGTCTTTGCGATCGTAGTGCCAAAGTCTCTCCTTCCGGTTCCAGCGCGTGAGGAGCAGACTGATGGCAGCGTCAAAGGCTTCACGTTGTTCTCTCTCGTTCATTTTAGAACGTGACACATCCTGAACTACGCGGTGAACGCTCAATTGCGGTTTGGCCTGCTCTTCGACTTCTTCGGCAGGTTCACGTTGCGGATCTAGCCCCTCTTCATCGAGTCTGTGCTGTATTCCTGATGCTATGTCTTTCCCAGATGCTACTTTGGATGCCGGGCCTTCGGTTTGCTTTAGCTTGCTGCGATCCTCCTCAATTCTGACGAGTGATCGCCTCCAAAGTGCGTCGCGCGCCGCAACATAGTCGATCCAGGTCTTTGGGTAGTCGCCAGCCTTGACTTTTGCTGCACCCTTCGTCAGGACTTCTTCCTGAATATGGTCTGGGTCCAAGAAAGATAATACATTCATGACCATGCGAGCAGCTGGATCAAGCTTCTCTAGCATCCACACTGTGGCAGTTGTAGGTCGGTATTTACTGTTCCTGATCTCGCGTCTTCCTTCATGCAACTTGTGATGGTGGGCATCCTCATTGTACATCTTGAGCAGGTCGCTGAAGCTAGAAGATCCATCATTCATCATGCCAGCAAGTTGTGTGAGAAATAGCGGGTAACCTTCGATGCGGCGAGCAAGTTTGAGTGCTGCTTCGTCGCTATCAGGAGTATGTTTCTGCCTTGTCAGCCTGTACAGAAATTCTCGCGCTTCTTCTTCGGCGAAGGGGTCGAGCGGGATGTTGTGAGTAGAGTCATCATCGCCATCTGTACCAAAGTTAAGCGCCAGTCTATCAGCATGCGGCTTTCTACTCGTCATGAGAACAGAGCCAGCCCCATCCGGAGGCCAAAAGTCTTCCATGAGTCCGAAATCATCAACGTTGTCAAACACCAGTAGCCAACGAGCTTTGGGTGTTCGTGCCTCGTTCTGACTTCTGTATGTCTTGACTGGATTCGCAAGCCATTGAAGGACTAGGTCTCTACTCATCACTCGGTCCCTATCGTCCTTTGGCCCTTGTAATTTCAGCTTCAATGCCATTCTTCCAAAGCTGCTGGCCAGCTTCCCGGCGGTGTCTGCGTTCAACCAGAAGATGGCGTCAAATTCTTTCTGCCGAGTCTTGACATACTGATACGCGATGGATGTCTTGCCTATGGTCATTAGCCACGTTATGCGGACTCTGTTTGCTTACAAACCTATGCCTCCCATTCCTGACAAAGCCACGGTCTTGAGCTTTGGCATCACCTCGAGCTCGTCTCCCACCAGTAACCACCCGTCGATCTCGTTTAGCACTTTCTCTCTGCCGTAAAAGTTCCTCACGGCTACAGAATCGTCGAGTAGGTAACAAGGAAGATCTAGCGCACCCTGCATGGAAATCTCGCGCACGGGCTGATGTGGACGAGCCAGAGCGGAATTTGATGCAGAATGACTGTCATCTCGGCTTTATAGTGACACAAGCATCAGTATCTTTCTCGATCTGTGATAACATGACTTACGTGGCAGTTTCGCTCTTGTCGGTCTCCATAGACTCGATGCTGGGAGAATTATAGGGACGCGAGTTCGTGGACCGTTCAAGTGTACTAGATTCCACTGAGAATGGTGAGCTCTTGCGGAAAAGTCGACGTATAAGAGTGTCTTACCAATAGCACTCGATGCACTGGCTTTGTCATGATTCGCGCGGAGTGTTTCGTGACAAAACTTGATGAGCTCATTTCTGAATTCGTTGTTCTCGTTGAGTGCGCATAGCCCGTTGTGATCAGAATCGACCAGTACCACTTTCTCGTTGGACAGACTAGTGCGAGCTAATGAATCTGTACCCTGCAATCTGTGTTAGTTGATCACCAATCCATGGGAAGGGTTTGACTACCACAATGCATGTGCCCTCGCTTGCCGTCACGATTCCCAAAATTTTCTTCCTCTTTTTGCTCCTTCGTTGTTCTCTTGTTGACCGAACGGGTACAGAAAGATTTAGCGTCTGGAAATCTTCGGACCACGTAGCTAATCGATGTAGCTGGTTATCGTCTCTAAGGCCCTGAGACAATGATGACGTGTGAAGCTCAAGAATGGCTGGTACGTTTTCCCATTCCGACTTGTTGGTTTCCCGAAGATGAGGTGTTCCAAGAAAGACTATGCCTACGAGGCAGCTGAACAGATGTTTGGAGCTTTCGCTTCTTCGGCGGGCAAGCACAAGTAACTCATACACTATCAGCGGCGTGACTAATAAGTGGTTGTTGAACTGACTGACTCGCTTCAATATGATTCCACCTAGACTATGACACAAGAATACAAGAGGCCGCTGTTGTGCCTGCGTAATCTTTAAGCAGGCAAGATGTTACTTGGATACGCAAGACTAACGTTCCAACCATGAACAAAGTCGTCTAATACAGGGAGCAAGACTTTTGCCTGGGTACTCAGCTGCTCCCATTGATGTAGGTTCTCCAATGTCAATCGATGTTCAAGTACCGAAACTTGAATCTTTAAGGCCGGGTCGCCCGATTGCACAAGGTCGTGAACAAGCGATATTTGATGAGCTTTGCTCCATTCCTCAACCGGTGCATCGCCTATGCCAGGTATCACAAGAATGCTGTGTATCTATAAGCATAAAGTTGAGTGGTTGCAGGAGACATACTGAGCGTCAGGCTTGGATTTGTCCTGTGAAGTGCATCCTGGCCCAAGTAAATGGCGCAGGAAGCCCTCACCCATCGTTTGATACCGTAAAGCCGGATCTCTAGCGTTTCGCATAGTTTGGGTGGTATCGGAAGATGAACCATAACGTTTCTCAGCTTAACGTGTCGGCGATCGGTTGGGTGGTGTGGAGGACCCCAACCTCCAAGGTTGGCTGTGCTGCGCCAAGAATTAGAGGCTGCCCAGGTGTGGCCAGCGTCGTTGTTGCCTAGACGTGTGCGTATCGCTGTGCTACCTTGCAGCCCTGCGGCACGCAAGCCACGTCGACGCCGCAGGCAAAAGCAGGCAAACAGGTAAATGACGAGCGTGCGCTCGAAGCGGGGTACCCGTGCTCAGCCATGTTTCGTCTGGCTTGTCTTCGCAAACAGCGGTTGCGTACTACACAATTTACGACCCTCTTCGCTCGCGCCGCTGGAATGACAGCAGGGAAGAGGCCAGATGTCCCATGGGCAGACCGGGCGATTGCCAGCTGGAAGTCTAACCGAGAGTTTACCATCGGGGATAGTCGTTTCGTCACTAGGCCCACCGATCACGTAAGCTTGTCCCCCTCCACAACCACAGCGTAACAACGTCACTGACGACGACTAGCCTGCTGAATGGTTTCCAAAAGCGCTTGTGACAGTCATCAAGATCCTACCAGGCGACATCATTGACGCAGGATACCTCAGATCGCGCATACATCAATACATCAATGACTGCGATGTCTTCAGGCTAGATTTCTTGCACTGCATACAGTTCTCGGGTGCACTCAGGGAACAAGTTGATCTAAAACAAGATGCGGAGGCACAACTTCAGGAGTGGGGAAACTCTTGGATCAAGTTCGCTCCTACGAAGACAACACATGATGGTCCTCCGACGGGACCGTACGTTGCATTGCATGAGCAGATGCATCAGGTATGGCGAGTATATGATGACGACGCCAAAGCCTTTTTGGTTTCGACTTGGCCTACTGAGGAAGATGTGAAGTGAGTCTTTATAACCCATACTCTATGTTTCTACTCACCAGTTCTTCAGTCGATACGAGAGCAATGGCCTTGCAGGCAGAGCATTCACGTCTTTAGGTGTTGCTGTTCCTTCGAGACTCTATTTTAATAAGACTAAGGAACGGCCGCTCGACGGCGTTCGAATAGCCATCAAAGACATGTACCATCTCAATGGGCTTCGCACGTCAGTCTGCAACCGAGCATATTATGACCTCTACCCAGCGCAGACCGAGACTGCCGAGTCCGTCCGGCTTTTGACTTCTTTGGGAGCAATCGTAGTCGGAAAGACTCACCTAAGCTCTTTTGCATGGAAGGAAGAGCCCACAGAATGTATTGAGTACCCTGCGCCTTTCAATCCACGGGGTGACGGTTATCAATCGCCGGCAGGAAGCAGCAGTGGCAGTGGGGCGGCCATTGTATCTTACGAATGGCTTGACTTCACATTGGGTACTGACAGTAAGTCTATCATGTTTAGACGCCTTCTTGATCACCACTAACAGATGGCAAGCGACTGGAAGTGGAAGGCGACCCGCTCTATGGAATGGCTGCTTCGCTCTAAGACCTTCCGGAGGCAAATTACCTTGTGAAGGTATGGTCTTGACCTGCCCCAAGTTTGACTCACCATCCCTTTTTGGTCGAGATATCCAGACGTTCAAGGACTTCATCCAATCATGGTATGGAGCTTCCATCAAGAGCCATGATACACCCACCCGTCCTTGGAGGATTGTATATCCATTGGACTATCTGCCAGTAGGCAACACCGATCAGATGCGTGTATTCGATGAGTTTGTTGACGAGATGGCCGAATATCTCGGAGTCAAACCTGAGAAACTTTCCATTGCCGACACATGGGAGCAACACCCACCAGTCAAAGAGAGGAGCGTGTTGAAGTATATGGAGAATGTAAGTGCACGTGAGACTGTCAAGAACAAATAGCTAAATCGTGATCCAGGTCCAGGAACATGGCTTCTTCTACGAGCTCTATCATTGCTTTGATGAGTTTCGAGAAGACTATGGGAAAAAACACCGAAGAGATCCATTCCTCACGATGCCTCTAAAATGGGTGTGGTATGTACTTCAGACTGTCTAGATCTTATCCCAGGCTAACGATAGTAGGAGCATAGCGAGGCTTATTGACGAGTCGCAAAAGGATCGAGCATGGGAACATTATGCCGTATACAAAGATTGGTTCATCAGGAATATCCTTCGACCAGATGAGACAAGGACCATAGTAGTGTTGCCCATTGAGGAGCTCGAGCCGCGTTACAGGGATGTACCGCCAGATCAGCCTGTCGAAACCCCGAAAGGGATTAGCGTCTTATATCTGAGTCCCACGCTGGGCGCACCAGAGATTGTGGTTCCAGGCAAGCATTTCAAATACTGCCAAAAGCTCTCGCTAACCTTTACAGCTGGACAAATTCCATTCAATTCGCGTATCACTGGGCAACAAGAGTATCTGCCCATGGCAGTGTCTTTGCTGGGAGCCCCAGAAACCGACTTGGAACTGATCGAGATGACTGAGGGCTTTCTCAAGCATGCGAAAAGGTCTTCTCGGGTACAGACAGGAAGAACGATGTTCGGTGATAAGGAGAGATGATTGCCTGGCAAACTGTCACATGCCAGGGCAAGGTTCCCAGTATTGACCGCGAAGGGTAGGCTTGTGCCGGATGCCGCTTCTCTTCTGAACGGTCAGCATGTCATTTACTTTTAAGACCCGATCCCCGCACGCGTGCCGATCTTCATACCATCTCTACGCACGTCTACATGCAGACCTAGACACCACTGTGGCACGAGGGCTTGATCCGAAAGCCTCTCGCCCTATCAAGTCATTGCATCCTGCCATGTTGCGCGTGACGATAAGACGACAAACTGAGGAAGCTCGTTCTGATTGCCTGAGATGACTCGTGGCTTGATATGCATGCAATAAGCAAACCTGGTGATAATGCCAGCATGCACACCTCTTACAGCCTGACCCCGCACGAGGCTGAGGAAATTACCCCATTTTCGAGCATGATATGAAGGACGTGATTTTCGTAACGAAGGAGTTGTGCGCTTCCGCCTCCCACTGGTCCTGCCCCAAACCGTTTCACTTCGAGCAATCCATCGCTTAACGCCTGTATTTTGACCGTGTCGATCTTTTACTTACCGAATCTAGACGGCTAACAGTATGTTGTTGTGATCAGAAGAATGCTTCTCAATACGCGTGCTCACTTTAGATAGCTCATTACGGCAGCAGTCGCTACAAACGAAATCTTTACTTCAAACAAGATGACACCAATCAACTCACTCGCTCCCAAGTCCACCAGGGCTCAGCCTTGGAGGTCGATCTGGCCTGCCTCCATAGAGCGACAGGATAGCTTTCGTGGTCTTGGGTTCAAGAAAGGAGAAATCATCGTCGCCGACGGAAACGCTGGAAGTTTCTTCCCTCACGGAGAGTGGGAGGTGGAGCAGGAGTCGAGTCCGCGCAGCGCGCCGCATTGCCAGGACTAATGATAATGACCTATAAGAGATGAACTCTCAGCGCATATGAACTGTTGTTGCGCATGCAAAGATGGGCTGGCACTTTACGATATGAACGACTTTCATAGTTATAAGAGATTTTACCTGATTGGGGCCACCGGCCCACGAAGCCACATGCTTACATCAAGTGCGTCTGCTGTGACTTCCATGCGCAATCTCAGCCTCTGCATAGTACACCAGAGCCCTAACCTCAACGCTCTCTCTTGGAGGCTCAGAGGATGAACTAAGAGGGTTGGGGAATGCCGAGTGCGCGACGCCTTTGTCCGTTAGCCGTCGCTCAAAAGATGGTTCAAAGCTGCCCACCAGATATACCCGCGGGATCTGAGTCGGATTGCATGAAGACCCACATCTCATTCGGTTGTTGGTCGCTGAGATAGTACCATTTGTGACGGTCTGAACGATAAATCTGACGATTCTCCACCACGTACTCCGCATATACCAAGTCTGCGGGCTCTAAATCCGTGGAGGGTTCGAGGGTTCGTGCGTCGCAGAGTGCTAAGGGCCAGTCGCGAACTGGGCCTCGCAATGGTTTCCATGTGCTGCGGGTCTCGTTAGCTGACAAATTGAGAAATTTACGAGTTGTTGTCACTCACTTCACGCACTGCACCCGACCTTTCAGGAGCTTTTCTGCCTTCTCGTCGCCATTAAGCCGGCGGACCATGTCCGCAGCCCACGTTGCTGTAGTGTCTATTTGGCATCAGCTATACTATCAATAAACTGTGACGGCAGCGTCAGCTGTACCAACATGCGCCATTGAGGTAGGCTGATTCCATTGATAAGGTTCGCCGGTCGCGATAGGAAACTCAGGGTGACGCTTGCGCACCGTGTGTTCGAAGATCTGCACATGCGCTGCTCCGAGGAGCTCTCGTATGGTGTCGGCAATTTCGCTGAGATAGACCTGAACAATCTTTGCATCGTCCTCAAACTGCTCATACCTCATCTTAGACTCCATGTTTACTATTTTGAAGCCTTGTTCCTCGAGAGTAAAGTTGTTGATATTAGGCCGAGCATCTTCAATTTTGAGGTCTTCGCGGCGTTCGAGCTTGATGTTCGAGCGCTCAAATCCATCGGGGGGCTCAAATCGGAGTGAATATGGCTTTACAGTGGAGTATAGGTCGCTCCTCTGGAGGAAATGCATACTGGTTTCGATCATGCTGCGGGCTAAATCGAAGATGTTGCTCAGAGGATAATGGCCAGCAGTAACCGGGAAAACATCTTCTTCAAATCTGCGGAAGGCAGAGTGCTGAGTGGCAAATGCTGCTCCTAGATACGGACACTGGACCCGAACAGCTCTGGCACACGGCTTCATGGCGGTTTGCCACATGCTTCTGAATACCGATGCGATCTGCACTGTGGCTGGTACGAGCTACTCAGCCTGAGTTCTGCCATTACCCACACAGATTTTCGCAATGCCTCTGGTAACAGTATTTTGTTGGCAAGACTTGATCCGTTGCACACCGTAACGTTTTGATACATCTCAGCAGCGTTACTAGGAGGCTGTTCAAGCGTCTTGTCGCGCTTGACACATCATCCAAGGATTTGCAGCAAATGGGAATGTCCATGCAGCGGCTCAGACAACGGTGGACAAGATGAGAACTTGAGGAGCCTAGGTAGGTGTCAGCTAGCGCGGTTTGGGCGCGTGTAATAAATGTCATTAGTCAAAGTGTTGCGGAAGACGAGGCATCGATTGGTACCAAGCGAGACGCTGGAACTTCCAAGGGACTAGGAGCTACAAAATGTGACTGCCCACGACCTGAGAGGCTATTATGCTTAAGCGATCATGCAAGATCGATGATGGTGGGGCCAATACATGGGCGCGTCCGACCAAATTCTACTGTTTGCCTACATTACCGATATATCTTATCGATGCATGCATTCACGCGATGCTGATTTGGGAAATAGCGTCACGCCTATTACGTCGTGTAACATCCTTGGAGATCAGCCGTGCCGATGAGCAGGTTGCGAGATGCATGTTGCGCCTGGATCAGGTCTAGCGCAAAGACGCTGGCGGAGCCGCAGGCCGAGAGGGTTTTGGGTTTCCCCCAATCTGCCTAGGCATGGAGACATCGCGGTTCCTCGTCACAGTATGCTCAAGATTCTATAATAGAGTCACCTAATAGTATAGTAACACTGGCACTGGCCAAGCAATGCCCGTTTCGCTAATCCTGATTCTGACTTCATGGCTGCCACCTGTCGGCATGTTATCAACTCTCCAAATCATACAGCAAGCACCCTCCAGTCCTGAAATTGTACACGAAAGCCTTGCCTACAGCTCCTTCTCCATTTGTTCCACCTTCGCCCTTGTTCTCTACCCACTTCGCTCTATAACCCAACAGCAAGTCGTGCAGCTCTTGCAGGTATTTTCTCTCAGCAAGCGGCATCTTTTGTATGAAGTAACGCCACGAGTCCGGGTCGCTGAGACGCGTCTCCTTGAGCAAGTTCATGACCTCTTCTTTCGACTCGATGGCAGCGATGGGTGCGGATTGGAACGCGGAAAGGAGATCTGTCGATCGCGATTGTGCGGCTTCGACAATAGACCATTTGTTGCTCTTCTTGGATCGGTGCTGGGCGATAAGGACGTCGACGTTCGCTTTTGACGCGTTGGAAGTGTTGCTTGAGGTTGGTGGCGGAGCCTTGATGAGGCGGGCTGCGCTTCCTTCGCGTTCTTCGCGGTCTCGGAGCTCGTTGCGGAGGTAGTTGAGAAGATCGGTACTGCGCAAATCTGTGTCTTCTTTCTTTGCGATAGATTTGACCTTGAGCTCCGGCTTGTCAGGAGCGACGCCGTGTTTGATGACGATAACCCAGCTATGTCTGTCTTCGCGATAGTGACGTAGAATGTCTTCGATGGAGTGCGCATCGACGGCGAGTTCGGCGGTATAGCCATGGGCGATGAGGTCTGCTACCATCTTGATGCCGGTAGAGCGGAGAACGTTTGGATCGAAACTAGCGACTAGACAGTCGCAGCGTCGTGGCATCCAGGAGATCGATGGCGTGTCTTCTTCAGCGTGCTTCCGTAAGAACGTCGACTTCTCAGGTTTCTTGATATATCGGCTCATGGAGTTGACGAGTCTGTCCCACCCCAAGTTCACACCAACAGCGTGGTACGCAGCCGCTGGATGTGCGTGGCTCGAGCCTCTCGGACGGTACTCTTCGATCAGCTTGTCGTAGCGTCCACCCGCAGCAAGGACCTCCCTCTGCTTCGTGTCGAACAGGCATTGGAAGAGAATGCCACCCGAATAGAATTTCTCATTGAAGCTGCTCAGTACACTGATGTAGACCTTGCGCTTCACGCCCCATAACTTCATGTAATTGATGACAGAAGTTAGGTGTGCAAAGACGACGTGAGTCCGATCAAGGTACTTGGTGCCTTCAAATAGTCGCCGCAGCTTCGCAAAAGCCTTTTCTGGGGTGTCGCGCCAATCGAAGCGCGCTAGATCATCTAACGATGTTGATGGAATACCAATGTCGGAGGACCGTAATTCGTTGCGTATCAACTGCCAGTTGTTCTTTCCGATGTTCAGCTTACTAAGAACTGCCTTGACTGCCGCGCGCTTTGGGACACTGATTCTGCAGAATTCCATGATCATGTCTAACAGATCGGCGTGATTCAAGTGGAAGCACATCTGCGTTGATCGAAATGAAGGGAACTCATCAATGATTTCATCGACGACCTTGAGAACCTCTGCCTCCTTCAAAGTAAGGTCAAGCGTATCGTAGGACAATATATCGAAGTCTGCCTCGCCGTTACTACGTGGAGCACTTCCGGTGTAGTCGTCACGGTAGACATGACCGATCGTAAAAGTCTTCTCTAGGAACGCTCCACCTCGACCGATGCTACGTGCGTACGGCAATGTCAGATCGTAAGGTAGCTGGACTAGGGTTCCAGAAGGATCAAAAAGCTTGACGACCTTCGTGTCCGCATAATGGTCGGACCAGGGTAGTAGAACTTGACGTTGTATCTCAACAGCACCGTGGCTCCGGAAGACCATGGCCAATCTGTCCCTTACTAGATTCTGCAGAAGCACATCATTAGCCTTGATCTTCTGAGTGGTCGCGCTCAGATCCCATGCATGGTCCTTTGCTTGGGTATCGGGCTTTTGTGAGAAAAGAGCGGCCATCATCTTTGCATAGTGAGGCGAGTTCCGATCGGATAGGGCCTTGAGCGCTTCTTTGACGGCCTCGTCCTCCATCTGAGCGGGTACCTTGCCACTTCTCAAAAGCTCCGTACATCCGGGCCTCTCTGAAGGGCGATGGCTGATGAGAGACTTGATGATAGTACCCTGCAACGACTTTTCCGGCGTCTCGAACTCTTGCGGAAGATCGTGTTTCCGCTCGCGTAACGATCGGATGACTTTGTCGCGCTCCATGGCAGTTCTCAGGGGAAAGCACATCTCAAAGAAGATGATGCCCATGGAGTACATATCCACCTTGTTGTTGTAGTCGCCAATAACGGTCGAGCTGAGCTCAGGAGCAACATAAAGCGCAGTACCAACACTCCGCGTCATGTCGCCACCATCCTGTGTACCATTGGAGGGCTTTGTATCAGGCCTCTGATATTGGCCACTGGTGGCTAGTCCAAAATCGCCGATCTTAGGCACCTTGGCCATATCGATGAAGACGTTGTCAGGTTTGAGGTCACGATGGATAATACCGTGGCCATGGATGTGAGCGAGTCCTTCGAGAATTTGTCGGAACAATCTCCAGTACTCGTCTGGATCGTCATAAAGTCCGGTACGTATCAAATCTCGGAGTGTCTGCTTCTCGCAAAACTCCATTTGAATGTATAAGATTGACCTCGAGGGCTTTGCAGGTGTTGAGTCGGACATGGCGCGTTTCTTGACTGGCGAGAGTGGCCCTATGCTTGCCTCATCTTCTGCCTACAGTCAGCTTGTCGTATACATGACGCTCCATGTCATTGGCTGCTTACCTGAGTCGGAGCCAAAGATTACTGCACCGACGTCATCTTCCGATTCTGCGTCAGACCCAAATTCGATCTTGGGATATCCACTGGAGCTAATGAAGTCTAAACCACCAGTGCTTCTTCCGTGAGCGCCACCATCAGTCGTAGTCGTGCCTGGAGAGACGTCCGATTCCCAGTCAGACTCGTCGCCATCTGATGTTGCCGAGTCATAGTAATCATCCGCTTCGGCCTCTGGCCAGGCGGTGTAATAACGTACCACACAGCTGTGGTTTAGCCGCGAAAGTAGCATGACTTCGGAAAGAACTTCGCTTAACGCTGCAGCAGACTTCTGCTTGATTTTCTTGATAGCGTAAAGACGACCGTCGACTTTGTTGCGGGCCTTTACGACTTCGCCGTACCCGCCCTTGCCCAAGCGACCTTGTTCGGCCCAGTCATTCGCGTATCGTGAGTATGACGGAACAACACCAGAGGAAGACTCTCGTCGCAGCCTATACCGACCTAATGAAGTTGAAGAGTTCCTCGAACGTACGGGTGTGGAGGGTCGGTCGTATACGTCTACATCGTCGCGCAAGAACTCACATGGGATGAGGTCAAAGGCTGAGGATCGTTTCTTGGGGTCGGGCTTGAAGAACTTGCGCAGAACTTCTTGTAACGGTTCGGAGCAGCCAAGAATATCGGACAGTTCTTTGGGTGAATTGTACTTTTCAGGCACATCGAGGCCGAAGAGCATCTGAAGGAACGTGACGCCGAGATCCCATACATCCGTCTTGCGGGTGTGACGCGCATCCTGAGACAGCTCGGGCGCTATCCAGTAAAATGATCTTACAATTTTCATCGGCTGTTCATCCCAACACAAGCTTCGCAGATGATAAAGAGAGCCTTGAAAGCTGGCGTCGGCTAGCAATACTGTGATTCCACCACCGGGCGATCTCTTGAACAGGATGTTATGAGGATGAATGCGCTTATGGACTATGCCGTTGCGGTGGTAGAAGTCCAGTGCTTCTAGAAGCTCGATGGTCCAGGAACGAACTCTTGCGACTGGTAGGGGTCCATCGTCGGCGAGCCGCTCGCCTAGAGATCCTTTGTCGGCGTGATCCATGAGAATGCTAATCTCCCATCCTGAATCTGGTAGATGCTCTACTTTGAACTCCAGCACCGCCATGATGGCTCCTTGCCGCAGTCGCTTGAGCTCTTCCATCTCGTCTTCGAATTCCATAACGGCTTTTTTGAGCTGTGGGCCAGCAGCAGCGTTTCCGCCGCCCACCCGAGCACGTTTTAGTACTAATGTAAGCGTTGCTGTGCTTCCGGCCGGTTTTACCAACAGCTGTTCGGTCAAAGGGCCAGAACGCAAAGGAAGCGGATTCTCAACGCCACTGCATTGGATGGTC